TTAATTAGCAGGCTGTCTCATCTGTTTTCAGCCACTGTCATTTTCCTCGGGTGGTAGAGTATAAAATGTCTTAATGGCAAGAGTGAAAGGCAGTTCAGATGAGCAAAGCCGTGCCTGGGGATAGTGTGGTACTCTGGCCTGCCTTCGCTTGCCGTTTCTCATGTCAGCTCATGGCCACAGAAAGGGCAAGTGAAGGAGACTGGTGTGGAGGGCGCAAAGCAGGTGCTGGTTCTGTGCTTTCATTTGGCTGCAGAAGAAAGTGCTTGGCTGATGATGAGGCAGGGATTTGTGTTTAATTCAGGCCAAAAATCAATAGTACTAGTGAGAATGAGACTTACAAGTTGTTAGTTATAAATGACAGAAAATAATATGTTTGCTCATTTTACCCCTTCATTGTTGCATCACTGTGATTGGCCAGGGGTTCACTGTGCAAAGTCCCTACCAAGAAAAGGGTTGATGACTTTAGTGAACCCCAAGCAATTCTTTGTTTGGGTTATTTTGACATTAATTTGATTGTTTTAAGAAACAAGCATTTCCAAGCGTGCAGTGGGAGCCCTGTGTTTGTGAGTTAAGGTTGCCATTTTGCAGCTGACATCTAAGACCTTCTAAGCAATGTGAGCTGCAAGATCTAAATCCCCCTTCAGCTTTTCCACCCAAATCTGAACATACACTTTTGCTAATAGAGCCCTCTCACTAAGATGTAACTTGTACCTGTAGAAATGTATTTTGAAAACACATTTTCCACTTCAACTTTGTAGCCATGTAAACTAACCCTTTTTCAATAAAGCACTATTGTTTAGACATTAAACAAAATAAATGTTTTAATAACTTAGAACTGTGCTGATCTGAAACACAACTGCTCCTGGCAGCTCCAATCTAATCCTGAGAGGATGTTGAGGGCTGAAGACACTCCATATAGAGCTTGTTTTCTTCTTGGCAAAACTGGCCTATGGGCAAAGAACTGCCCTTGCCTTTACTGCTGACAGTAAGTGCACTGTCCAAACTAGACCAGCAGGACGCAAGGAAAACCGACTGTGGAACCTTGCCAAGACAGGATAGGGCAGTCTTTCGAATTTTCCTGCCTCTGATATTGGTCTGTCAGACATTCTAGGTCTATAGCCAAAGCCGGCTGCCCTACATTGTAGACTGTCCAGGTAGCCAGCTCTTTGTTATTTCTTGCACCTTTTGGAAGTTGCCTGCCTGCACTTCCTGCTTAATTATTTTCCTTCTCAGGTCTTTGATGGAGTTGAAGACTAGATAGTCACAATCACTATGCTCTCATATCTTAGCTAAGGCACTTTAGGTATAAGACTTAGAGTCCTCTGGGTATGGCATCTTTTGGAACAATCAATGTTATTTCCCAATTACTTATATAGTCTAGACACTTAGTATGTGTTTCTTGATTGATGTTCTTCTGGTTAGCTGTAGTTCTACTTTTTGTGTATGTTATTACCCTTTCTTTCTCCTGGACAATACTCGGTCTTTGTTCGTATTGTATATAGTTTTGCATTGGGTTTAGAACCCTCTTATTTAGACAAAAGGGGGAAGTGTGGGAATTCATTCCATTAGCTTTGGGTACTGGCCTTAGGGCATGGCCTAGGGTGCTATGTGGGGGGCTGATAAGGCTGAGAGAAGAGCATATTTGCTCTCTCTTGCTGTCACTCATGACTGGCTGATTGGCATAGTGGGAGAACCAAGCAACTGATAGGGAGTGAGGATCAGTGGTGGCTTCGCTCTTACTCTGTATTTTGTGAGTTTGTTCCTTTCATTCTCCCCTTAATAAACTGGATTTTATTACCTCTGTGAGTTCATGCATCAAGTTTTGTTGTGTGGTGTGACTCTGTGGTATTCCTCAGCTCCCCATACCTAAAATACCCTTGCACCAGAAACCCTTTCAATAATGCTCGTGAATTCAGGTCCAAGATATGTACATTAACCACTAAATGCCTAAAAAGAAAGGGAGGAAGGGAGGGAGGAAGGAAGGAAGGAAGGAAAAAAGAAAGAAAAGGAAGAGGCAAAATCTGTATTGAGAAATCAAAACTAGCCAGAGCCATAAAAATCTGCCCAATTCTCCATCCACAATACAGAGATGCACTGCTCAGGGATGCACCTTAGCTCTCAAAACCTCTCCTGTGGGTGGACACTACCATTTTACCACCCAAACACTTTACTTTCCAAAACACTCAGTGTGCAACACTGCCATGTCTGAAAGCATGTCTGGAAAATGGAGTAACCCTTTCTTGCTGGCAAGATCTCAGTCACGTGGTCACCTATAAGGATTTTGGGTTGGGGTCATATGAGACAGCTCAGTAGGTAAAGGAGTTGTCACCAAGTCAAATGAGTTGAGGGCCCAAACTTGTCATGCAGAAGAAAACTGACTCCTGCAAATTGTCTGTCCTCTGATCTCCACACTATGCACATTAACAGAAAGCATTTCTGCCTTCATATTGTATTTGTGCAGGTTAATTTATGGGAGTTGGCTCTCTCCTTCTACCATGTAGATCCCAGGCATCAAACTCAGGTGCTCAGGTTGTTGGGCTTGGTGGCAATCTACTGAGACATATCACCAACCCCATTCCCAGAACTTTCATGGTGACCTGTGATCTTCTAGGCAAGAAACAGATGGTTGTTCTGTCCTTCTATTTTATTTTATTATTTTATGTGAATTAGTATGTCGCATGTACAACTTCCTGCAGGCGTTTTCTCCTCCCATCCCAGTGTTCAAGCTCGGGTTGTCAGTCTTAACCACAAGCTTGTTTGCCTGCAGAGCCATTTTGTTGCCCTTAAATTTATATACACGTATGTATGTATGCATCTTAGTTTCTTGTCAGTTTTTAGGCTGCTGTGGTACAGCATCAGCAATTATTTTCCAAGTAAAATAAAAGTTTTGAGGGCCAGGGGTCCAGCTCAATGGTAACATGCTTGCCTAGCATGTGTGAGGCTCTGGGTTCTACACCCACTAGCAGGTAAGAAATATTTTAAAAGAATATTGCTGGCCTCTGCCTCATCTTCCCTCCACTTCTGGGTGCAAAGAATTTTCAGGTGTGTTTTAAATATTCTATTCAGTAATGTTCTGAAGGACCACCCTGCCTCCATCTTAGGCGTAAAAGCCATTTTATAGTAAAGACAAACTGGACTTGTTTCTGTTTATGATTAAACCTCTGTTTCTCATAGATTGGGCTACGCCCTACCTGTAACCTTAACTACACGTGGTTCTGTACTTCCTGTTCCAGGAAACCATAGCCATGCTTTTGTTTCAAAAGGTTTTTTTTTTTTTTTTTTTTTTTTTTTTTTTTTTATAACCATTTTACAACCCTACTTTTGTTTCAAAAGGTTGTTATGACTGCCTTGTTCCGACCACCTTGCACCTTTCAATCCTGTTTCAGGAGGCCATTATGACTAACTTGTTGTACTGTGTTCTTCTTGTGTAACTCCACCTATCTTGCCCACCAAATCCCACATTTGGAAAACCCCTAGCCCTGAGCTGTAAAAACCTTGTCCTTCCTCACTCTCAATGACTAACCTCTTGAACTCCACCACAGGGGGAGGAGGCAGGTATACACAAATAAAAGAGTTTGCATTAATCATTTGCTTACTTTACTTAATTTGGCCATGACGATTTAGGGTGGTGATCTGTCTCCTCAAATCTTTAGGATTAACAGTTGACAGCCAAATTTTCTAACCATTTCCACACATATGCACATATCATATGTATATATTTTTATATGAAGCAATTCCACTTTTAAAAATATGTTACCATCTGCCAATGAAAATTCACAAGGTTTTTCAGTTCCCCCCCCCCCCACACACACACTGTGGGAAAGGCGATACTGTGTAACAATCCAGAGACTGGACTACATTTCCCGAGGTGCATGGGGCAAGCCAGGTGGGTAGAGAGAACTTCTGATCTCTCAGTTCCTTGCCAAGGGTGTGATCCTCAGGCATACTGGGAAATGTAGGCCAACACCACATGAAAGAAGGTGAGGCTTGCCATGTGAGACCTAGGCTCAAAGCGGGGAAGACTGAGTAGCTTCCCAGACAGGAAATAACAGAAGGAACCTCAGTGTTCCCGTGGGGAAGTTCTTGATTTGTGTCTGACCACACGCTCTGGAGGTTGAGACTTACTGTGGAACAGGCCTGATTAAGTGATGCCCCCAGGGAAAGCAGGTCTGAAGCATTAGTCAACACAAAACAAGCGCACACCTTCATGTTTCCTTATCTCTCTCTCTCTCTCTGCTCAGGAGCAAGGCCAACATCTAAGACTTCGGCAGGTCATAAAGGCCCCATGAGGAAGCCTGCTAGGCTTGTGGGCATCTGCATGGGTACATGAATACGCCACACATCGTGAACCTGCACATGTTCCTATGCACGTGTGCTCTCCAACATTCTGTGTTTTAAAAAGACAAGTACAAGTGTCCAAAGTCAGGGTCTGGTCCTTCCTGACTTTCCCCAGGCAAGATAAAGGCCAGATGTCTCCACCGCCCCTCAAATTACATTACAGAAGCGTTTATTGTCACTGAACTTGGCATCGAGCTGAAGCTTCAAGCAGATGGGGCCATGGAGAGGTTGCATAGGCTATCTCTGGGGCAGGGGGAGCCCAACCATGTGGGGTGCACTACGTAGGGTGCAAAGTACAAGGCGTTCAATGTGAGGCACCCTGTAGGTGTGATGGTGAACATTACATTTAACAGTTTAGACTTACTATGCTTAACATGTAAGCCCCTGGCTTGTGCTCATGCAGGCTCTACCTGTCAGCCCACTTCCCCTTTCCCCCCAGAGGTTAAAACACTCCTCTTAAAGTGACTAATCTTGTAAAATTTGCTGTTCTAGCAAGACAGTAAGACTGCTATTTCTGCTTTCGTAATCAAAGTTGCTTACTCTACTCAAAAGATGACTAGGACACTGCAAGATATGTAAGTTACAATAAGCCCGTGCCTACACGTAGGCAGACTATATTTAACGTGGGTTTTGCCTCTATAAGCTCTGGGCTGTGCAACCTGGCCCCGATCAGTCTGGGTGCCAATATCTAAAAGAAAAAGCCTCTTCTTACTGAGATTTATTCAGGGTGATTGTGAACCTCTGAGTAACCCCAGGCAGTAGGGTGCACGGTGCAGAATGTGCGCTGGAGCTCTGGGGCAAGGGCCGGCTCTCTAGAAGGGGTACTCGCAGACGAAGTAGAGGCGCCGCTCACAGTCATGGTCCCACCAGGAACCGTCGTCTGAGGCCTGCGCCACGCAGTTCTCCAGGACGCCGCCATTGGGCTGATCCGGGCTGAGTGGATGTGATGCCGCGCTAGGATGGGCGCCGGGCTCCGGGCTGGGCGCGCGGTGCCAGGCGAAGAAGGACACGCGCTGGCCGTTCTCGAAAAGGTAGAGCCCTTCAGAACGCCTGTCGTTCACGCCCAGCCATACCGGCCAGTTGTAGGGGGCGAGTGCAGCACGCAGGTACCGACCTACCGCATCCATTTGCTGGCGGTCCGCCGGCTGTGCTAGGCTCCCGCCCCGCGCCTTGCACCGCGCCTGCGCGGCCGCCTGAGTCTCGAAGTCCCGCGAGAGCAGGAAGCACTTGTGGCCCAGGCGCAGGCCCTTCAGGCAGCCTGTGTGCGTGGTGAGGCGGAGTCAGAACATTGGGGCGGGAGGGGGCGGGGCCTGCAGGGAAAGGGCGGGGCCGTGGCATTGGGGTAGAGGGCGGAGCCAGGTGAAGGAGGGTTAGAACTGCGATGACCAATGAGGTAGAGGCGGAGGCGGGGCCAAAGTTCTGAGGCCGCAGAGACCAATGAAGCAGAGCCAGGGATGTAGGGGACGGAGGCAGAGCTTTGGGGACCGGAAGAGGGCGGAGTCAGGGCCCGTACAGCTGTTGGGGCGTGGCCAAAAGAGGACAGTCCTTCAGTGGTGGAAACTAATTAGGGGGAGCCGGAGCATTGAAGACAGACAGGGCATGGACAGTGGGAGGGACTAGAACCTCAGTGACCAATGAGGCCTGGCCAGGCTGTCAGGGGCAGGGCCAAAGCATTTGCGGGCATAAAAGGGTGGGGCCAGAGGGAGCCTGGTTAGAGCCCCAGAGTCTAATGAGGAGGGGCCAGGACCTGCGAGGGGCGTGGCCAGGGTGTGGCCAGGGTGTGGCACAGGAGTGTCTCACCCACCTCACGATCCAGCTCCAGATGTGCCCGCACATCCCAGTTCTGTGTGGATGCTCTGGTTTCCTGACACTCCTGCTGCCCGGGTCGTCAGGCCTCCCAGAGTTTCCCACCTGGGCCCCCTTGGTGCTGGGGAGACTTACCTTCCAAGCGGCCATGCTCTTGCTCAGCACGGACCTGCGCCTCCTTCAGGGCTTGCACTGAGTCGCCGGTGTCACTAGTAGCATCCCGCAGCTGTCGCAGTCCCTGGGTCAGCTGGACCACACGAGTGTCCAAAGCGTGCAGACGAATGTGCAATTGGTGTAGGCCTGCATCCAGGCCAGCCAAGCGCCCCACTGTGAAGGGACAGGATATGCATCTGGAGGCACAATCAGGGACCCTAAGGACAAGGGAGGGCATGGCCCTCGGACTTCCAAAAATAGAAAGAATGGGGTAATCTGGACTATGTACGTGAGGTTCAGTGGTTTGGGCCCCCTGAGGTGTCTGGCCTCCAGATAGATGCACGGCTTGTGGATACTCACAGATGTAAGTGATGGTGTCCTCTGATGTGGGAGAAGGGCTGGGGAAAGGGTTGGGCCTGGAAGTAGATGCTGTGGTGGTCTCCTCTTCCTCCGCTTCTCCTTGCGGCTCCTTGGTCCCCCAGACCCTTTTGCCTTCAGGGTTTCCAGCAAGACCATCTTTACTCCCCACCCCAGTGGGCAGCTCCTGTGCCTCCTGGACATTCCGGGGCAGAGGACACATGTCGGCTTCCTTCCCACCTACCTTCGAAGCTCTTCCTCCGGACCTGTGGCCCCATCTGAGCCCCATTACTTTTCTTTGCCCAGCTCTACAACCCTTCACTCCAAGCCCACAGTGCCCCTCCAATACTCACCTTCAACATCAGCGATTCCCGCTTTCGCTCCTCCTCCAGGGCACCTCCCCAGCCTCCCTCCCACTCCCTCCCAGGACCCCGGGCTCCATAGCCAAAGCCCAAAAGCTGAGGGACCACCAGAGCCCCCAAAAGCCAGGCTGCCTTCATCCTGCTGGGCATCCCTGCACTGGGATAGGCTGGGGTCTGGGCTGGTGAGTGTCCCAGGCCTCTTGGTCCTCCACTCTGCCCGGCCTTCTTTTCTGCCTCCCCTCCTGGTCTGGTCTGTTTTAGCTTTTGGTCTCCTCAGCTTCTGTTGGTGTGTCTCCCCGCCCCTCTTGGCTTCCAGGAGGCTCTGCCTCTGTGGCCGGAAACCTCTAACTTTCCAAGGCCTAATCCCGCCTTGGGTCTCCCCACACCCACCCCAGCACTGCTTCCCAGACCTCCACTTCTGCCTTTTTCTTCACTTTTGCAATCACCAGCATTTAGATGGTCAGAAGAAAGGTGGAGAAAGTTCTATAGGCATCCATGATACTGGTAGGCCTCAGCCTTGGTCCATGAGCCTTCTCAGAACAAAGCAGGCCATGATGGATGCCGGCTTTTGGCTCTGTTCCCGTCTCCCCCTCCTGGCCATTCCTGAGGAGGGAACAGGCTGCAGGGAAAGCTAAGGTTGTTATTATCCTGTGGTCACCACTGACCACACAGCCTAATGAAGAGGACTCTTCTACCGTCCTCAGGCTCCAGGCTCACAGTTCCCACCCAGATGGTCTACCCCCGCCCTCCCAGCCCTTCAGTATGCCTGCTTGTGGGGCGTGTGGGATCAGCATGGATGTGTACAGCTTGAAAGGTGTAACTCCAAGATTATCCTGCAGGCCAGGCCCTGAGCAGGCTAATGCTGGGCTGGGAGGTGGTGGTGGTGGGCCCAGTGGCTCCTCCACCAAGGAGAAGGGTAGACAGACAGAGCAGTTATCTCTAGGAAGTGAACCAAGCAAGCACTGGACTCTGAGCAGAGAACATTCTGCAATCTGCCTCACCCCAGCCTAGACCACTGCAGTCACCTCCCCCTGCTCTCCCCCTCCTTCCTCTGAGCCCCTCCAATCTGGGCTGCTTGCCTGCCGCAGCCAGAGCAATCCTTCCAAACCATAAATCAGATCACATTACTCCCCATGCCCATGCTTCCTCACCTTCCCATCAGAAGCAGGAGAGAAGCCAAACCTGGGCCTCGGTCCTCAGTGCAGCCTGCAGGGCTAGGGCCTGGGAGAGGACCATTTTCTGCAGCCTTACCCCATCTCCCCTCACCCTCCATCCCGGTGGTGTCCTCCCTGTCCTTTTCCTCCTCAAGATTCTTCCCTCAGCTCCTTCTCATCACTGGAGTCTCAGCTCTTCTAAAATGCCTCCTTTCCTTCAAGGTATCACCCAACCAGCATGGTCTTGTTTATTTACATCGGTCTCTTGCAGACCAAGGCTTAGATTCTTGGGTAGTTCTGTATCCCCAAGTCCCAAAGCAAGGCTTCCTAGTACCTAGTAAGTGCTCAGTTAAGCTGCTGAATAAGGACACTGCTCCTGGCAGAATAACGACAGCCTGGTTAAAGGCCTCAAAGACAGACTTCTGTGCTTAGGCTGCACCTGAGTTCTCAAGGTGTCTGCCTGGGTAGAGGTGCTGAAGGCTGGGGGAGGATCCAGTGCCAGAGGAGTGGAAGACTGTGTCCTGCCCACTCCATGCCAGGACCATGAGTCTTGCAGGGCTATTCCAGCTATAGTCCAGCAGGTCTTGCCAATTCATGAGCCAGAGATCCAGGGACCCAGGCTCTGCAGGGCAAAAGCAAAGCAGATCAGAGAGGCAACATGGCAGCCCTGTGGAGGTCATGGGCATGGTGGCATCTAGCCAAGGCTGCCTGACATCTGCCCTGGTCTGCTGAGAGCTCCATGAGGGGCCTTGGAAAGGAACACACCAGTTTTCAAGAAAGCCTGGTATGTGGAGGACAGAGTGACCTTGGGCAGCCTATTGGCTCCTTTAGAGCCTCTCAGATACTCATGGGTAGCACAGAGGCCCCCTCACTAGAGGCTGGAGACCTCCATATAATACATAACAGCCTTCTAAACTATAGAGTGCTTCATGCCACTCAGTGCTCTTGCCAACACTAACAGCTGTTCTCCATGGGCTCAGCTGCTCAGCACCTGGGTGGATGCATCAAGATGAGGGGCTCTCTGAGATGGTACCAACTCCAGCTTATCCCAGGATGTTCCCAAGAGCCTGCAGCTGCAGAAGAATGCAGAAGCTACCTAGAACCACCCTCTGGAGGTGCTGGTGTTCCCTAGTGGCTCTGGGGATGCTGCTGGAGCTGGGGCAAAGTGGAAGTCAGGACTGAAGAAGGCTGAAGGATGATGAATGAATCTGCCTTGCCTCTGTGAACGTATCCAGCAAGAGAGTGCTAACTACCTGCACACTCATAGCTTTATGTGCCCAAGTGTGTGAAGTCAGAGGCGATACATGAGTGATACATGAAGATAGACAACCTCAGGCATGTTCTTTGGAACACTACAGCAGGCCAGTGGAGACTAGGGAGACAGCCTCTGTCCTTCATCCATGACTCCTGGGGCGACCTGGGGCAAGTTACTTAGCCTCTCTGTGCTTGAACAGGAAAGCAGTCCCTAAACCTGACTTCTGTATTCAGGGAGAGCCGTGGAGGGGTGCTATGAGCAGGGTGTGCAATCAAACAGGTGTACATACCTGTGATGGACAGGGGGTGGGTGAGCTTGCTCAGACAGCACCAATGTCTGTCTACCATGTGCTTTTGTGGGCAGATCTGAGCAGGCAATTGGAGTATGGTGTGGGTAAATCTTGCAGGGTGCTGTCAGTATGCTGTGACAATGGGGTGTGACATTGTGCATGAAGCTGGGTGTGTGTCTCTGGTCATATGTACGGGCAGGCATGCCCTGAAGGAGTATGCAGCTGTGGGTATGTTTTGTTTACAGGGCCAGCTGGGGGGAGGGATATATGGCTATCTCTGGTTTTCCATGTGTGGGGGCTTATATGGAAAGGTGTGTGTGTGTGTGTGTGTGTGTGTGTGTGTGTGTGTGCATTTGGGGACACGGGACAGGGATCTATAGCCCTCAGCATTCAATTTGGGAATATACAGACTCTATAGATACAAATAGCACCCCACCATGTATAGAAAGAGTAGGGAGCACTCTGGGAAAGGGGCTTCTCTGGAAGGAGCAGGACCCCATTTGGGACACAAGGGGGTAAGCAGGGATGGGATCTGGGTTTGGGGACGGGGCAGTGAAGATGAAGGATGGAGGAGGGCGAGGGGAGAGGGGCGGAGCCGAGTTTGGGGGGGAGGATGGGCGAGGTTTGGGGGCGCGGGGAGGGGCGATATCTCTCTGCGGGCTCCTGGAGGGAGGGGAGAGGGCGGAGGGAGGGGAGGGAGGGAGAGAGAGAGGAGAGCAAGAGAGAGAGACCGGGTGAGGGAGAGACAGCTAGTGCGAGAGAGCGAGCCGGGTGGCAGTGGAGGCGCCGAGCGGGAGCAGGCGGCGGCGCGGCGGCCCCAGGCAGAGGAGGAGGAGGCAGAGCCGGCGGGAGCCGCGGCGCCCGTAGCCCGGCCAGACCCCAGCCCCGGGGCGGGCGAGGAGGGGCGTGCGGGCGCGGCAGAAAGGGGGGCGCGCTGCGGATGGCCGGGCTCGGCCCGCGGGGGGGGTGAGGTCCGCGGCCCCCCCGCCCTCCCCCCAGCCCTCGCCCGCCCCCTCCCCGGCCCGCTCGCCCTCCGGGGCGGTGGGGCATGGCCTGAGGGTCCCCCGTGTACGGGGGGGGGGGGGGTGGGGGGAGGGGGGAGGGGCCGCGGGCGCCGCCGACCGGGACTCAGCAGCCCCGCCAGGCAGGTAAGGGCACGGGACACCCTAGGGGGGTTCTGGGGTCGGGCGCAGCTCCGAGAGCTGGGGTTGCAGGAGAGGGCGGGGGCGCCCCGGACGTCCTTGGCCTGGCGCCGGCTCCAGCCTGGGTGTGCATTTAGGGTGTGGGGGGGGGGAGTGCGGGTGTGGAAGGGAGCGTGGCCCCTACGGGTGACATCAAATTGGGTTGCGACCCGGTCCCGGGTGCCCCGTCCCAGATCGCATCCTTGCTGGGAGGGTGTGCCCCATCCCCCACGTGCTGCGCCCCCTAAGCCGTGCTGGTCTCTTAAGCTCGGCTGGGCCACCGCCGGGTCCTGGTCCCCGCCTCCCAACCCTGTTCGGCCACTCCCCCGCCTCACCCATCCTGGCGCACCTGGGCCCCTCCCCTAGGTCACCCTGGTCCCCAACCCCTTCAAGTCCAGCGTCTGGGCCAGAGCCCCCCACGCCGCCTAGACCCGCCGCCCCTTCCAGGCGACTCCAGTTCCTTCCCACTCGCGCCCCGCGTGCCCGTCGCTCCTCCGGTCCCTTCTCCGCGGGCCGGCGCGCCCCCTCTGCTCCCGCCCCCAGTCCCAGCTCCCTCTCCGACCTGGGGCTGTCCCCTCGTCCACCTTCCTGTCTCAGCTCCAGCTCCCGCCTTCCTCCACCTCCATTCATTCTCCCCGGGCCCGGCTCCTGGCCACGCCAGCCGTCCCCTGTCCCCCCGCAGCCTCGCAGGGCACCCCCTCTCTCCCCATCGCCACCCCCCCTTGCCGATTCCTCAGCCCGTCTCGGTACCAGCTGCGTGCCAGCTATTCTTAGCCGCCGAGCTTTTGATTCATGCCGCCCCGGCGGAGTGTGCCCGCTCCCTCCCTCGAGGCCGGAGGGGGAGGGGCCGAGCTGTCCTGGGTGTTGGGGCAGCGGAGTCCGCGCTGTGGGGGTCCGGCCCTGGCCGACCTTTCCTCCCACCTGCCGCCCGGTTCCTGTGGAGCTAGGGCTGCAGAGGGGACGTCGGCCAGGGTCAGCCGAGGGGGAGTGGCTGAGGTCACACTGCCAGTCGGGAGGAGGTTAGGGCAATCCGCGGACTGAGCAGGAGGCCCGGAGTCTCCTCTGGAGCCCGGCGGGTGGGGCAGCAAGGCCAGATACGTGGGGCGGGGGGGGGGTGACTTCGGAGCTCGGCCCTCACGAGGGGGAGGGGTCCTCAACCCGCAGTTAGACGCCTGCTCGCCTACAGTTCTTGGAACTCTCTTCCTTAAACATTTCGTCTTTCCTTCCCCAACCCTCCTCCCCCCAGCCCATCCCCACTCCCCCAAAGTCAGCAGTACCCTCCACTGCTTCCCAT